GGGAATATTTATTTAAATGTAAGTTTAATTTAATTTGCTAAAAGGTAGCCCATTGAGTATTCTGTCCATAGGCCTCATACTGTTCACTGTTAATGTCAGTTTAGTATAGACAGTTATGGAATAACTAAGTCCTATCAGACTGCATCTTATCAAATACGGGTCTAAAGGAGAACCACTGGTTTAATGGATCATATGTCCATACAGTGATCGGATAACATGATCGAGCCAGCCTGAAATACCGAGCTACATATAAATACACTTCTTTGTAGTTACCAATATGACTGCAGTGTTTCTAGCTTTGCACACCCTGTATCACAGCTTTCCCTCATGAATGAAACTATAAAATGAATTATTCAGTATATTTTCATCATTATACTGTATGACCATGATAAAAAAGCAACTTGTCCAAACAAAAGTACAGAATAATCAGGATTATTTTTATTAATTCATCTTCAGTTTCAATAATATCATTACAGAAAAAAACATCCTCTTCATTATATTTATACAGTAGTAGTAGAATGCTGTGTCATTGCTTCATTACAAGTGCTGGTCATAGTTTATAGTGTGTGCAGTGTGACACTGAGTTCAGTCCAGTGTTACGAATCACTCAGTACAAAGGCAGTTTAACAATAACCTGCTTCTTCTTACTCAAATGAATCTATCTGGGTTTGATTGGTCCTCCTTGGGCAGGTGCCGGGACGTGCTCTGATGCTGCGTTCATGCCATAATGAGTCCACTGTAAATATGAGCAGCCAAAAACATAAATGTGGTTTTAATTTAATACTTTTATTTCACTTGGTTGTGGGCCTTCCACTGAATGAATGACTGCCTTTAAAATGCTGCAAAAAATGTCACCCTGTTCTTCCACGACTTTGTCTTACATGACATGAACCCAGCATGAGCCACCGATAGATTTATGGTGCATTTGAGGTAACTGGGAAGTTTCTGATATCTGAGCTTAGCGGAATAAATGAGACAGTGTTGGTACCAGAGCCTGGGCTTTGAAAAACTCTTCTTACGCAGCAATAAATCGCATCAAGAAGTGCCAGAAATGTAACATTTAGTCAGATCAGAAGTTCCGCCCAGGTGATGCACCCTGGTCTCACGCCTGGAGTGAGACCTGCCCAAAGAGGACAAACACGCCCCCCTTTATGGGCATGCAAATGTGGAGAGGGAGGGGAGGGGAAAAAAGGAAGATGAGGAGGAGAGGGAGGAACGAGGGGAGGGGTGGAGGAAGACTGCATCAGCCTATCAGGAAAGCGGTCAAAGCTCAGAAATTCTGACTAGTGCTGCATTCAGGCCACAGAGGAAAGATAGTTGAATTGAGCTTCTGATATGGAAAGTTGACACGTCATATCTCTGGGGGTAGTGTGAAGATCATTGGACGTCTAGAAAAAACATAAATTACGTCATCTTGGTGTCTTTACATACCATTAAATTAGCATTGTAGCAGTTATTCCAATATGACCTGAATGCAGCATTAGACCTTTGACCATGTGGGTTTGTTTGGCACTGAGCACACTGATAGGAAAAATCAGAGGAACTAGAGGAGTTAAGGTATGGTGCACTGGTGAATGCTTGGGACTCACAGATTGCATATGATGCATTTGAATGGTCCTTGTTAATTGGTAAACAATTTAAGTTCAGTGTTTAATCAGCAGAATACAGCAGCCAACCGGCCTATCATGTTAAAGCTAACAGTAAACTAAGCTTTTATAGTGGGCTACATATCAAACAAGGTCGTCTATATTTCTCAGTGTTGCTCTGACTACGTACAGTACATTGAGAGAAAAGCAGTCAAATGATGTTTTTTTTACAGCCTTGAACTGTGTTGATTCTTTTGACTTTAACAAGCACCTTAACACTGTCATGGTAGAAATACACCGGTTGTGTAGTTTACGAGCACCTGAACGCGACACCCTGCTTTCAAGTGATGCCGAGGCCGGAGACTTCTCTGAGTTGGGAAAACGGTATGTCGCGACGCACTCGAGCAACTCTTATGTTCATGTTTGTTTAAGGAAAAGGTGGGAGGCGCAAGATTGGCCAAACAGAAGCCTGTGAGACCAGCTGTCAGCTAGGTATAGTCGTTAATCTTTGGCTACTCGAATGATAAGGCTGATAATATTCTTAATTTTTTATCACTGTCAACAAATCCCATGAAACGACCAAAACCAAACCAAAAATGAAAAAAAACCTACTAACAAGTATTGTGTATGTTCTCCTTCTAATATTAAAACACATCAGTGAGCCACACTGTTGCACTGGGTGTCATGTTCCTTCATTACCATGAACACACACATTGTAGCTTTATTTTGAGTCCTACATACACCATCGTCCTGCTGCAAATACTCACTAGAGCACCAAATGTGTACTACTCCGCGGCTGAAAATAGTCCCAAACAAATGTACACGTTCCTCCCCTTCGAGTGTGCTAAAAACTACAGTGCCCAGCTAAGCCTTTTTAAAAATTGGAGCTATATATTTCGACCTGTTTTACAGAAATAATATCACACATTGGCAGAGGAAAAAGAAAAGGAAAAGACCGATTAATCGAATGTACTACAAGGAGTGTCTAACTGATTATGCCTGCCAATGGGTCGGATTCGGTTGAATTCCCCTCGACATCAATGAAAGGAGGCAGTAGAAACACTACCACTTTTGTCCACAGGGGCCACCACAATCAACACAACATGAAAGTTCCTTGTAGGGGTTTTGATATGAAGCTCTTTCTACCACTCTCATCTGTACACAGCCAGCGACTGGTTAGCTTAGCTTGGCATAAAGACTGAAAACAAGAGGAAACAGCTAGCCTGGCTCTGTCTAACAGTAACCTAATCCACTTATCAGCACCTAAAGCTCACTAATTGAGACATTATATCTTGTTTCTTCTGGTAATTTAATGCGATTTGTTGATAGTAAGAAAATAAAGACTATCACAAGCATTATCTTCCAATAGTTAAATTAAAGAATGAATTAAAGACTAAGTATTTTTAAGTTTCGTACTGCAGTTTCATGGTGTAAACTATAAACTCATGTAAATCCAACCCCACTTGAATGCAGGGCTGGGTTATACTAATACTAGTGTGGCCCACCTCTGACATGAGGGAAGTTCGTCCCTGACTACAGATCATAGAAGTAATTTTTATAACATATTATTATGTTTATATTTGATGCCGGACCAGAGGAATCATTCCAGTATGGCCAGAGAGGAATTCACTCAATGAATCTTGCCTTAAATCATCCTGCCTTAAAGCTGAGCCACTGACCCACCTAACAGAGTTCCATGGCTTTCACTGAGAGTCGTGATGAGTTTTAGTGTCTCAGTATGGTTTGAAAGTGTTATATCTGGAGTAAAAAAAAACAAAACAAACAAACAAATATCCTTGGATTTTTTTCCTTTTGGCAAAAAAGTATTTACTGTACTGGCACAAACTATATCAGCAACATCAATCAGAAGATATCTTTATACGCCTTTAGTTCATATTTCTGTCAATGCTGATGTTAGGGTCAGTGTGTTCCAGGATGTAGTGATACTGCAGGGAGGGGTTATCAAGGAGTTTCTATATCTGGATAGAGGATGCCAGAGCAGAAAAGAAGAAGAAGAGAGAAAGAAGGGGGAAAGAAAAGGGAAAAAAGGTCAGGAGGAATGGAGGAAGGAGGGGAAGTCTCTATATCTCTATATCTACCAGGGGAAAATGTTGAACGCACAAAGCAAATGAACAGGAGAGAAGAGGGCATGATTACTACTAAGATGATAATATTCAATCAGAACCATGATAATAATAATAAATAGAATATTAATTAAGAATATTAATAATCATTATCATCAGGATAATAATAATAATAATAATAATAATAATAATATTACAGAATAAATCTCATATTTTATTTTTTTTTTTCACATTTTTTCTCCATTGAAATACAGTGATCTCCTCAGAGCAGACCAATGAGGATTCAGCCTCCGCTGGCTCCGATTGGCTGTTGCATATGACATCACAGCTAATGGCGACCAGGTAGACATGCATCACTTCCTGCCCCCGCCCGTTTCCTGTCCAGACAGGAAGTCCTGGCACTGCCATGGTAATCGGTAGCGAGTGACATTGAAGTCTGGGGAGGAAATGTTTTGTTGTTACGGTTGGATGTGTCCCCCTCCCCTGTAAATATGCGTAGAGGCTTCCTGTGAGAATGCACAATAGAACATACCTGCATCATAGCCGTCCGATGACCATGACGTCCACGACCTCTCCCTTATGTAGTTCCACGTACTGCTCTGTTTTAGGAGGTAACATCAGCAGACCGTTGGCGCTACGCATTGACATTAGTCTGCTGGATACCTGGTTGCCTGGAGAAAGAGGGACATACAGTTTGTGTGTGAGCCTGTGTGTGTAGGAAGTGCAGTGTTAACTCTATTCTACCAATTAATATGTAATGAATTAATGTAACTGTTAAGAATT